CAACCCCCGCTACACTGCCCCCGCTACACTGCCCCCGAACTTAACAACCCTGTTCTACTACCCGTCGCCACATAGCCGGGACAGACAGACAGACTGACAGACAGGCTGACTGACTGACAGACAGACAGACAGACAGACAGACAGACAGAGAGAGAGAAACATAAACCCTACCCATAATGAAACTCATAGATTCGTACCAAAGACAGCTTTACTACCACCAAAATGGGGCCGACGAAATCTCTACTACATCTTTCAGACGTTCCGATAATACGCGGAATGAGTAGGCCTAGTAGTAGCAGTAATAGTAGTAGTAGTAGTAGTAGTAGTAGTAGTAGTAGTAGTAGTAGTAGTAGTAGTAGTAACACACCCGCTTATCACAGTTAAAATTAAATTGATACTACGACAACCACAAGAACATCACCAATAAACAACGACAACAACGATAGAGAAAAGCCATGAGCCAGTCCCCCCTTTCTCTACGTCATTTCTACCCTCTCGGCTTCACTGCGTCATTCCCCGTCTTTGTTATTGTTATTGCTGCTGCTGCTGTTGTTACCGCTAGCCAGACTGTTGTGAGGGCGGGGAGCGTAATTAACGGAGACGCGAGAGAGGGGATGGCAGTGGAGGAGGAGGAGGAGGATGAGAGAGGAGCGGGGGAGGAGGAGGAGGAGAACGGGGAGGAGGAGGAGGAATAAGCAGCAGAAAAGTGTGAGCGCTTTGGAGAGAGATCGATAACCGCGCGCTTCTCGGATGCTTCCTCCCAGGCCTGTTTCCCTCTCGCATCCCTGGTTTATCAAATACGCGACAGTTTTATCATCATGTAACATGTACTCTTACTCTCTCTCTCTCTATCTCTCTCTCTCTCTCCTATCCTTGCCTTTCCACTCTCCTCTTATTCTAAGATCACGAATGGACAGCTATCAAAATCCTGGAGTTGTCTAGAGTCTAGATATCGATCTAGAGCCTTAAAAAAAGGAGAAAAAGAAAAACAGAAAAAAATCATCAGATTCGTGTGGCGAAAAGTCTAGACTAGCCTCAATCTGCAGGGAGAAGAGCTGGCGAAGCCAAGGAAAACCGTTGAGCGTGGGTTATGTATGCCGAGTTAGGTCGCCTTCGCATCTGCGACTCAACAAAGTAAGTGCTGCGTTCCTCCCTCCCCTCCCCTCCTCCTTCCCCTCCATGTTCCCTCCAGTCTACAACAAATGATGCTCGCAGTTCGAGAGAGGCAAATCCGGGCCGAGGTCGACTCGCGGATAGACACAGGAGGAGGGACGAGGAGGGAGGAGGGAGGAGAGAGGAGGCTGGAATCGTTAAACGCGTGGGCGAGCAAGAGGACCCAGACAGCATTACAACAACAGTAGGACTTTTCTGAGAGGGAGAGGGAGATGGAGATGGAGGAGGAGGGTGAATGAGTGAAGGGAGGAAATGGAGGAGATAGATGGAGAAGAGAGGAGGATGTGGAAGAGTGGAGAAGAGAAGACGGAGGAGGGGGTAGAAGGGTGGAGGAGAGAGAGGTAGACATGGCTGCATTGCGAGAGTATTGTATTCATTTCCACACAGAGACCAGTGGGCGTGGGTGATATAATCGCGGGTCCTATTGTTATTTCTATCATATTTCCCCCCAGCACTATGGCCTACTTCCTGGAACGGGTGGGCGGATACAAAGACAAACAAAAACAGAGACATACTGTTCCTGTTAACTGGGAGGGCGAGAGGATTCAAAACAAAACAAAACACTCAACAGAGACTCAAACTCAAACTCAGAAACAAATCAAAACATAAACAACAAAGCCCACGACAACCCCAAATATCTCATTTTCTTCAGATTTTTCTTTTTCAAAATTGAACTCCCATCTGGAACACACCCCCCCC